TAATTAACTCGTCATAATATAACATAAAATTATTAACATAATTATCTTGCATGCTGACATAAATAAGTCGCATGTTTACATAATTATCTAGCATGTTGACATAAAATAGTCGCATGTCAACATTATCCTGTTGTATCTTGCTTGTATAATGTCATATAATGGCGTTAGTAAGTAAGTTTACCAATAATAAAATGGTAACTTGCATGTCAACATAATTATTTTGCATGTTGACGTAAATAAGTTGCATTTCTACATTATTATGTTGCATAATAACATAATTTATCTTGCATGAAGGGGGCAAAAATATGCCACCATATATAATAATTGAATCCTTAGAAATAATTTACCAATTATTTCTTACCGTAAATCCTAGACAGAATGTCACAATTATCGTAAGATAAACTTGTGTTGGAAAGAGAGAGCGTCTTCTCTCCCCAAAGTCTAAGGTTGGAGTGCCCAAGAATTAGTATTGGCGAGAATGCGCAAGGGAGGAAAAATCCAGTTAGACCACTCACACACTCTTACGTTCACTAACCACTCACCCGTATAAATGAATGAATGAATAAGGCAATGAATGAACGTAGTAAATTCCGTAGTGGGAACGGAATTCATCAGTTACTATAATAACGTAATGCCTTAGGAATATCTATGAAAATGATAAGAATGTTAATTAGTAGTATTAATTAATTAATTATAATTCACCCTGTGACATATGCATAGAAGTTATATCGATATAAATAAAAGATATTAGAAAAAATATAAATGCTGGTATTTCTAGGGGGAAAGTTTGAAAATATTGTTCTCAAACAGACTTTGCAGGGGCGGGAATTCTAATGAAATCACATCACAAAGGATGAAGTGACGGTAAATGTATATTGTATCATGTGTGAAGTGTCAAATATTTGCTATATATATATACATTTATGTCTCTGAGCCCCCGCGAAGTTAATTTGATAACAGCATTTTCTCATCTTCTCCCTGGAAATATTAATAAATTTACATTGATGTACCTAAATATCTATATATTGTTACATATCGACATTACCATGCCGTTATGTTTAAATCTCTTGCTTTGATCAATATTTTTAAAGGTAAATTTTCTTTAAAGTCGATATAATTTATAGCAATAAACTAAATCAAATGAAAGAAGGGCCCTTACATTATGTTAAAACACCCAGATATTATTCATAAATATAAATGTATAAATAAGGTGTTATTTAAGCATTGAATCATTATTTTTTGAAAGAAATTGTCTCAAAACTGTGCATACAAATTGAGTAATGAGCGTTAGCGCGTTATAAAATTCACATTTGCAGTCAAGGCAAGGAATTAAAAAATGAATATTCCTTGCCTTGACTGCAAATGTGATTTTTATATCAAAATCCCTTATTATCCTTCGGGCAAATTACAATTAACAGAAGAAGCATTGCAACTGGTACTGTTCCATATGAGCGTGAATTTTGCCGTTGCACTTTCACGGCGTTCAACATTTATGACGTCAAAGTAAAACGCAAACTTTAACCTTTTGCCCCAATGTCCGTGTTATGGTATTTTGAATGCCGTATCTTTGCTAACACTTTATAAGAAAAATACATGTGGAATGTAAATATAACAATTTATATGTTGACAAGCAGGCTTGGCGTAATGCTAAAGGTAATGGTAATGCATTGCAACTGCATTACTTGAAATCAAAGTAATGCTAGTAATGTGTAATGCCAAAAAATCTGCATTACTTGCCATGGTAATGTAATGCATTACTTCCTCAAATCTAGAGTAATGCTGGCATTACATAGCATTACAATGCATTATTTTGTGTATACCCATTATTTTAATCACTAATGGACTTGGAAATTATTATTTAGATTAAATAAATTTCAAACTAGAAAAATTATTTAAACAATTTTACCTATTGAAATAAACCTTCTGATTAATATACTTTAACTTTTAACTATTCTGTTTAAATTTCAGTGACTCCACATTTAAATGTTCTTACTTATTTTAGAAATTAAGCTTGAATTTCAAAGAAAATACGCCAATCAAGGTACAAAATAATCTGCTGATTGCCACCTTATGAATTGAGTGTCAACAAAACACAAGTATCTGTAGGATTATGTAACAATGTATTGTTTTGAGAAGCCCAGTGCTCCAAATATAAGCCCCCTTTCCCTGTCTGTGTTTATGAAGCTGATCTACGTGGAGCTGACCATGACAAATCTACTGGACCAAAAGAAAATAGAAAATTGGTATGCCATTTATCTATTTCAGTAAAATGTAAACACAGTCCAACCCCTTTCACTTCTCAATATGTTTACTTTTTTAATAAGGTATAACTAAGTAAAAACAATCTCAGACAGTCTGATGAATTCAACTAGTCTTTGAGAGGAGAGGGAGTAAGTGCTCCAAAAGTTATTGTTGTCTTATGTACATCAATACTTACACATTAAGTGCATTACACATTTTGTACATTTATCTAGTTGGTAATTGAGAATTTTTTTCTTCTGATCATGAATAAATTTATGAGAATTTTCTTCTTCTGATCACGAATAAACAAAAGATGTTTAAGTTATTTACACTGTAATAAATATGAGTACTGCATAATCAAATTTATAACAATTTAAAATACATCACGTTATGTTTTAAGGGATAAGGGTTTAGAATAATAGTCGCACAAATTTTGTATTTTTAGTTTTAAAAACCCAAAAAAGTAATGGTAATGGTTAAGCATTACTTTACTAAAATAATGATAATGTAATGCATTACTTTAAGAAATTAGAGTAATGGTAATGGTAATTTATTGCTCAAATTCTAGAAGTTATGGTCATGTAATGCATTACTTTACAAAGTAATTCGCCCCAAGCTATTGACAGACACCTAAAATGAAATATATGGAGATAACGAACAGTATTCAAGCTCAAAAGCCCATTAAACAAAAGAAATAAGACAAAGACATTGTACAAGTTATAACACAAGTGTGGAGACCTATACGCCTCCTTAGACATTTGGGAATTAGACATTGATATATGAAAGTGTATGTCAACAAAACAGGTCAAAACAGTGTCATTCATCAGAAATTGTTGTCATAAATAAATTGCTAATTTTTGAAGCAAGTTTATTTGGAAATAATATTATAAGAATATATGGCGTCCTAACGCAACAACATGAGGTGGCTATATGTCTGCTTGTTCACGAATTGTTTTGAACACAGTGATAATGTCGTGCAACTAATATGTTGTGTTCGTCTTAGAGTTGCTATACTTAATAAAATATGATTATTGACTGCAAGACATTTCAAGACTTGATCATAATTAAACCCTAGCGCAAGTTAAAATTTTTAACCATTTATCAATTTTCAAAGTTAAATTTGACTAATAACCATTAACAAAAAATCAAATGGCTTTTAAAACTACAGCCATTTAAATTCCAGGACCTATATTTTTATTCCTATATGTCATGACCCGGAAAGAAAATATTATGAAGCATATAAAACAGCTGCAAAGTTTGATTTTATATTTCCTTTATCCGACTCTGGCAATTTACAGTTTTTCAATTCAACTCATATTAAAAATCTCATTGGTGATACTTATATTTTCCTTGAAGTTCCTTTTCATTTTTGCATTATAAACTGAAAAATATCCTTTTAGCAATGAGAATAAAATCTGCTTTAATGGTTTGTGAGGCAATTACAGTGTAAAATTGAAAGGATGTGGATCGTGCCATTAATAATATACCTTCACACTCAAGGTGTGTAGTTTTATAAATTCTAAAAACAACTTTAACACTGTAATCTTTCATATATTTTCGATTGTGAAATAAAAATGTTAATTGTAAATTCTATCTCTATCTAAAGTCAACTATCTCTCTCCCTCCCTCCCTCTCTCTCCCTCTCTCTCTCTCTCTCTCTCTCTCTCTCTCTGTGTATGTAGTGTGTAATGAAAAGAATCCTAGAAATTATGAAAATGAGATAAAGGAAAAAAAAAATCACATTCTTATTTTTCCCCATTTCAGATATCATGAGTTTGAAGTATAAAGCTGTGATTCAATCTTCATTGGGAGAAAAAAACACAAATAAAAGTTCATCTTCTGCGTCTTTAGCTGTTGATGGCGACCTTTATACGTATACTCAAATAGATAGTGGAATTAACAACTATTGGAAAATACTTTTTTCAAACAAGATCGATATATCCTGTTTTACTATTATATCCAGAGGAGGTTTGTTGTCTTTTTTCATGTTTCCAATGATAATTTTTATGAGGAAACAATGGTATAATTACTGAGTCACTTTCCGGGAGTCTATGATAATCAAGAAAATGGTTGATTCTATTAAAAAGAAAAGGAAGAGATGATTCTACCACAAAAGGAAAATATTATCTCTATAAATTGAATATTGTTTATTCAAATTTAGCAAAAGTTCAGTGCTTTACAATTTATTTGAAAATGTGCATTTTATCTTTACAATATCATTAATTTCAATGTTTAGGTACATTCAGAATAAGTATTGTATCAAGTTTTTTGGATTCTGAAGATCTGTGTGACAGTTTTAAGTTGAAAGGGGAGGCACGAATTCATAACGTAACACGATGTTGTCATAGAGAAATAGATGGTGATTCTTTTGTCATAACTCGCACAGACAGCGGACCATTGAGACTGTATGAAGTCAACCTGCAAGGTATAATTCATTATTTCTGCATTACCGCGATCATTTTTGTGCATAGATGGATTTGTATAATAAAGTGTTAAAAGTTATTAATGCGGTAAAGAGAAATCCATACTCATTTTAAAATACATTTGCAATAAAATTCTTAACATGAGAATTCAAACATTTTCAATGCTACTCCTTATAGATTGTCCTCATGGGGGATTTGGTTTCTCTTGTCAGAAATGCAGGGGGTGTACTTCCTGTGATGCTGCGAATGGAACGTGTTTATTATGTCCTTCATATAGATACGGCAAGACCTGTGAATTAGAATGTCTTGATAACTGTTCAAGTTGTGATATAAGAAATGGAAAGTGCCACATCTGTGAAAGATTTGCAGGAGAGTGTGACAAAAGAAAAGGAATTTGCACAAAATGTAAGCCTGGTTTTTTCCAACCTCCATATTGTTATAGATGCAGAGAGTCAATCCGACATTGCTCCCAGTGCAGCAATACTCAAATATGTGACAAATGTGAATCTGGATACCATGGTGACCAATGCAAAAAAGAAATCGCAATAGAAAACTCTAATTGTTCTCTCGCAAGCAATCATCTCTGTTCGACAATTCGTCAGATCAATGTCCATAGAAAAAATAATTATACAAATGGCATCAATACGGCAACCGAAGATAAACACAATACAAGAGAAAATACGCTTGAAGTTTTGGAAAATGATATCGGTGTTGATGGTATGCCAAAAGATTCAACAAAACGTATTACATTTTGTGGCTTTAATATTAATATATTACACTGAGATTTTTTTTTTTAAATTTTGTATTTTATAGCGTTCAAACCCCTTAACTGTACGTATCAGTCACTAATCCGTGTATTTTAAAACATACTGCACAAAAGTAGACAAAAAAGTTTCAAATTCAAATAGTATCTACATCAATTGAAAAGAGAAAGTGGTCTTGCAGCTTCTTTAAAAAAAGACTTTAAGTGAAAACAAAAGGATAGACATCTAGAAAGACCCCAAACATTATTTATAGTTTATTTCAGATAGCTGTGCTTAACTTGTTCTACCTACTCAAGAGTTTTCGTATTAGAGAATGCCCTATATACAACTTTACCTTAAACGTATTTTGTTTTAATTCGAATCGAATATATATATATATATATATATATATATATATATATATATATAAAGAGAGAGAGAGAGAGAGAGAGAGAGAGAGAGAGAGAGAGTTAACTGTGACAGTCGTTAATTGATTTTATGATATTTGGATATTTTACTTGAAAAAGACGTTAATGGTAATCTAACAACCAAGCTTTATGATAAACGTGATGACTTTAACTTTTCAATCGTCAACTTCCCTTACTTATGCAGCAATATACCTTCATCACCTGCATACGGGGTATATATTTCTCAGTTGATTCGATACGCTAGAGCATGCTCTACGTATGTACAATTTCTAAAACGAGGTAAATTATTGACAAATAAGTTGATGAAACAAGAATATCAGCCGTCTCGTTTAAAGTCATAATTTCGTAAGTTCTATGGTCGATACAATGACCTTGTCAGCAAATACAATTTATCATTGAGTCAAATGCTGACTGACGTTTTTCATACTAATTGTTAGGCCATTATTTACACACTGAATTGTCGACGGATTTTTCCGTTATTTCCTGATCATGACAAGGAGCACACGGCGGGTGTGACCGGTCGGCAGGGGATGCTCACTCCTCCATGGCACCTGATCCCAACTCTGATGTTTGGAGGTCCGTGTTTGCTCTGCTCCTATTTTGTATTGTATAATGGACTTTTGAGCTTGAATACTGTTCGTTATCTCCATATATTTCATGATATAATGCTGTTTAACATTCCATTCGAAAATTATTACCAGTTAAGGGTTCAAATTTAGGCCTATACTCGGCCAGGCTCTTGGCGAGAGTTTTTGACGTTTCGTCAGAAAGACCTATGACTTTCACTTTTATTACCAGGCACTTGGCAAGGGGACAGTCTCTTCCTATGTTTACGTCTTAGGTTTGACGCCGAATCGAAAACAGGCCTCTTCATTACGAAGCGATCGCCTTTCTATTCTACGGTGAATAGTCGAGCTATATTTAGTTTTTTACAACAATGTTAGGTACATTTTAATCAGTATTAGCAATACGTTTAACATAAGTTAAACATAATGAATGGTCAGCAGTTTGATTGTTGATAAGTTTCAAACTACATGTTTATCATTAGTAAATAACAATTATGTTAAATTTTGCATATTTCAAACTGTCTTGTTATACCGGTTTTCATATTTGAATATGAGACTTCTGATCAACATACATTTATGGACACGTTTAACACGGTTTAACACGTGTCTTGCTAAATTATTATTGTTGATTCAATGAATTTATCACACATTTTTACTCTTTTTTTGATTAAAAAACGGATACCGTTAGAACATGAAACCTAATGTTGGTGCTGTTTCTTATTCTTCTACTTGTTGTAAGGTATTTTTATAAAGAGTTTATATTCTTAATAATTATTCCATGAATTTGAATTGTGTAGTTAATTAAATATAAAGTTTTTAATTTCGACATATCTTTTACGAATTTATATTATTTTAATTCATTATTACAGATTGAACGTAATAAGAAAAAATAAGATTGCTGGTGCAGCACTCTTACAGGAACATGAACCTAGAGAAGAGCAGCCGTTAAACCATGTTGTACCACAGAACATTCTTCGGAACGAGGCCAACACGATATTTCTCGAAGAAATAACTGAGGCAGACGACATTGTTCTAGATGAAATGAAAAGTCTAGATGTAGAATATACTAATACTTTAGCTCATAGGATCCCCGTGGACAAGTTCATTGAGTACCGCAGCATCAGACGTGAAAACAACGTCTTTGAAGAAGAAGAATTTGCGGTAGAGTTTGCATTAAATTTTCAGTAATAGCCTATTAAGTTAAGGTAGTCCGATCCTCAGGATCTGACAATCAACAGTTAAGTAATTGAAAAAGCTCACAAAAATGTTTCTTAATTCACGGTCACGGTATACCCGAGTATATACTCCCCCTACATTTGATGCCCCTTAAGTTACATATACCTCGTCTGGGCACGTTATCAATGAGAAATTCAATTATTTATTTATTTATTTATTTTTTTGATTTTTGGAATTTGAAAACGTCATAGTTCTTTGGTACGTTGCAGGAAGAGTACATCTTCACGAAATTTGAATGCTGAAAATCAGTAAAATAGCTCTACGAGAGAGAGAGAGAGAGAGAGAGAGAGAGAGAGAGAGAGAGAGAGAACACTTTATATTATACGAAATCAAAATCGCTACAACCGGCCCATAGAAAACAATTCGAGTACGGAGGGCTCATCGAAAAAAAAACAAACAAACAAAACATTGGGCGTTTTTATCTTAATTTCATCTACTTAATCATGCGAATTTACAGTTATTGAATTGTTTTGTTGGTTTTCTTTCTTGTTTTTATTTATTTTTAAACATTTAGAATTCTTGTTTGTTAACATGCCGCTCCAGTATGTACATGTATGTAGTGGGGGGGGGGGGGGTCATGAACCAGTAAGGAACACAAACTATCCAAATGATCATTTACATGTATTTGAAACCAACTTAAAAAATATATATATTCTTATCAGTGGACCAGTTATTAGTTTTTGTTTGTTTGTTTTGGTTTTTTGATTGTTGTTGTTGTTGTTTTTTTAAAAGTCTTCCGTTAAACTCGCCTTATAAAACAATGATTTATAGCATGGAAGTCAATTATAAATGATCTGTAAAACGAAACTCCAGTTACACTGTATGAGAATTTTTAGTGATTATCACGACCTACATATACATGTAATGGACGACAACCTAGCTTAAATGTAAACTGCTAAATATGAAAACTTAGTATTTTACGTGTACAGTATGTCTCAGCTATTTCATAGATAAGATCATAATTCAGTTGTTTGTCTTTCAAACATTTGAATTACGATTTAGCAATTGCAATTACAATTAAAAGTTCCAACTTATTTTAAAACGCATGAATAATGTAAACAAATGAATTTGAAAGCTTTTTTTTATTAAGATACTCTTATCAATTTCACTCCATCCGATACATTGAAAATAAATTTAACACATTTTCTTCTTTTTCATTCGAGATATACTTAGCTTGTAAGTTAAGAAAAATAAAAGTGATAATTCTACGTCGAATGTACGGTGAAATTCTTGAAAAATTTATCAACTTTCTCCATATTTTTACTTATATGTACATGTTTCGATCGCCATAAGAACAGTAATGATCGATTTCACTACTGTATTTGGAATATACAAGGGGCGGGGCTTACCGGCGGCAAGATTAAAGCGGGGTCCGCTTCACGCACGAGTGAGTAAAGCGAACCCGGGAAACGAACGCCGGGTTCGCTCTAGCGGACCCAGAGCTGACCCCGAGCGAACGCAGAGCAAACCCGAAGCGCACCCAGAGCGGTCCCAAATTTTTCTGAAAGCGGACCCGCAGCGGACCCAGGAAGCGAACCCAGGGTGCGCTTTGGGTTCGCTGTGGTGTTAGGTTGTGTCCGGTTGGTACTGTAATGTGTATTTCCTCAAAGTTCATTATTATTGTATTATTATCATATTTTAAGGGGAAAATTATCAAATCTCAAATTTTTTTTCAGGTAATGTGAATGAAAACACGAGTTATGCATTTTTAAATTGTAAATTGATCAACAAATATATTTTAAGATAAAAAAAATTATAGGCATGTAGCATGTTTATTTACTTTTTTAAGACTTCAAGGAACATTTAATCATATTGAGATACATGAAATGAAAATTGTTGCATGAAAATGTATCAATAGCAGAGCTCTAATTTGAAACTTAATTAATTATTAAACAATAATTTTATGAGTTACCCTTCCTGGCTGAGGAGCGGATATTCTTTACTTTAAAAAGCTTAACTCATTTAAATAATTTCTTAACTGCCTTTATATTTTGTGAATTGAGTTGTTTTAGGAATTGAACGTTTTGGAATGCCTTTTAAATTTTTTTTTTAGTTTAAGCAATAAGTTGAATCATTTTAGAAAATACCGACAGGACTAATGGAACTATACACAGAGGCTGTAAAGAAAGAGAACATTTCTAAAAACCGCTATAGATACGTATATCCTTGTAAGTTACAACTCTGTTTCAAATAAATTCTTCTACACAAGATGAATAATAAATCGAAAAGTTACTCAATATAACAGCCATCTAGTATGTTTTGTTTTTGAACATTCATGCAAACCATATACTTTAAGATATGATAAAACATAACTGTAAACGAAAATGTACATGATTAAAAAGTGCTATGTATAAAAAATTCTAAACAATAAAACTCGTGAATACTAGTAAAAGGTCTCTTTTAAAACATAACTGTACACAAAAATTTACATGATTAAAAAGTGCTATTTGTAAAAAATTCTAAACAATAAAACTCGTGAATACTAGTAAAAAGTTTCTTATTGACATGGTTTCAGAACAGAAACGGAACATTCAAACATATAACGTATTTTAACGGATTATGAGGAAAATAGGCTTTCAAGGATAAAAAAAATGTAAACATTGCTTTTCAAAGTGTTAAAAATAAAAATAAAATGTACATTCAATGATGAAGTTTGCAATAAAGAAATATTTGTTCAATATATGAATTATCTACAATGATACTCTTTTTGTTGTAGATGATTTTTGTCGGATTGTACTTAGCACTTCCGAAGAACAAGGAAGAAATGACTATATTAATGCTTGTTATGTCGAGGTCAGGAATTGTGTTTGTTTTATTTTTAGTATTCTTTGTCTTATCATCATATAAATGACTCAAAACATTGAAATAGTTTATACGCTTTTATAAAACAAGTAATTATAAAAATGATCTGTGAATTATCACCATGAAATATGTGGAGACAACGAACAGTATTCGAGCTTAAATGTCCATTAAACATTACAAAATAGGAGCAGAGCAAACACGAACCTCTAAGACATCAGAGGTGAGATCAGGTGCCATGGAGGAGTGAGCATCCCCTGCCGACCGGTCACACCCGCCGTGTGCTCCTTGTCATGATCGGGAAATAACGGAAAAATCCGTTGACAATTCAGTGTGTAAATAATGGCCTAACAATTAGTATGATAAAAGTCAGTCAGCATTTGGCTAAATGAAAGATTGTATTTGCTGACAAGATCATTGTAGCGACCATAGAACTAACGAGATGATGACTTTAAACGAGACTACTGATATTCTTGTTTCATCAACTTGTTTGTCAATAACTTACCTCGTTTCAGAAATTGTTCATACGTAGAGCACGCCCTGGCGTATCGAGGTGATAAGAGTATATTGCTGTATAAGTAAGGGAAGTTGACGATTGGAAAGTTAAAGTCATCACGTTTATCATAAAGCGTCTTTTTCCAATAAAATATCCAAATATGAAACAGATGAGTGAGACTTTGTGGTGTCTTTTATTTCAAGCTCTACGGGATATATCGTGACGACTTAAGAATGGAAATAACCATAATTAAATAACAATACGTCGTCGATATATCTAAATGTCGAGTTGAAGGCCACAGCAAGTTTTTTCTTCTTTTCACCTAAAAGATTTTGAACAAATTCTGCTTCATATGAAAACAAATATAGGTATGCTAACGGGATCACAATTGGTACCCATAGGGAAATCCAATAGATTGTTGGAAGACTTGGTCTCCAAAGACCACATAGATATTGTCAATCAGAAAATCGAGCATCATTTTCATGTCAACTTCAGAGTACTTGTGTGTACAATCGGATTGTTTTTTAACAAAGTAATATTGCAAATGAACAATGACAAGGTAAGTAAATTTAGGCGTTCCATTTTTATTGAAAATGCAGCTGTCAACGATGTCAGAAAGTCTGGACTTTAATTTATCGTGGGGAATAGTTGTATATAAAGTTGAAAAGTCGTGTAAGTTTTTGTGCTGTTGATTTTGGTAAAATTTTGTGATTTCAAATGTTCCAAAAGTTCCTTGGCATTTTTTAGTATCCACATCTGAATTACACCACTTCTCGAATATATTGTTGCACAGTAATCTTGAAGTTTCTCCTTCACTACTGTTAATATCTTAGTGAGGAGTAAAGAAAGAGGCTTGGTAGAACATTTATTGGAACCCGCTATGTATCTTTGTTTGAAAGGATTTTTATGAAGTTTTGGAATCCAATATAGATATGGTAATTAAAATTCATTTTGATTGTTGGAATATTAAAAATATTCAAAACTGACATATGATTTTGAAGAATTTCCTCCCTGGAAAGGGAGCTATGGGTATACGTTGGATTACCACTTGTAGAATCGAATCCTAGTTCCTCTAAAATTCAATTTATATAATGAGCCTTACAAACAAAGACAATGTTGTTACTTGCTCTGTCAGCAGGGACCAGTACGTACTGATCGTGTAATCTATCTAATTCTATTTTCACTTCTGATTTATTGAATACAGTAGAATAGATGGTTTTCATACGGCCCCTCAATCGTTTAATGCGAGATTTTAACATATATCTGATACATTTAATCCATTCTGACAAAGTGTCAAGGTCTTCTTTTTCATGTCTGACCCAACGCCTAGCGTAATCCTCTAAAGAATCCATAATATGTATGAAATTAAGACGCCAGTTAAAGGATCGCGGTTCCCTACATTTAGGACCTTTTAAAATTAGTGATCGAAGGTCCTCATTATTAACTATATTTACGTCACCAGTAATAAGTGTCCAGCAGGACTATAGTTATAGGGTGAAGAAGAACATGAACACGAAAGAGGATTATGTTTCAGATATTCGATATCCAGGCCCTGTAAAGTTTTCTTGTAATTAAAAAGTTTGAAAGCAATAGTCGATGTATATTTGTAGGAAATACAAGGTGTAGTCTTCAACTTGAAATATGATGGAATGCAAGACTGGACGCTTTTGTGATTAAGAATATTACTTATATTAATATTCATTGGCTATAATGTCATCAAATGGTGACTGACTTTTTTCATAATAATTGTAAGGCCATCATTTACACACTGAATTGTCGACGGATTTTTCCGTTATTTCCCGATCATGACAAGGAACACACGGCGGGTGTGACCGGTCGGCAGGGGATGCTCACTCCTCCTTGGCACATGATCCCACCTCTGATGTCTTAGAGGTCCGTGTTTGCTCTTCTATTTTGTAATGTTTAATGGACTTTTGAGCTTGTGATACTGTTTGTTATCTCCACATGTTTCATGATAAAGAATATTGAATTTAAAAGATAAAGTTAATGAACAGTGGTCGATCTCAAAAAACCTACAATAACAGTTTGTGAATATGACATACATGTAAAACATGGACCCCTGAAAATTCTAGAGGATGGATCTATTATCCAGGAGGAGTAAGTATTCTCTATCGATCAGATACACTTGCTGTGAATACTTTGTACTGATCAAGTAGACGGAAGTCTTAATTATTGTAAAAGAAAATTGTTATGAAATATTTCAATCTAAATACGACCAAATGATGGGTGAACGCATGTCAGATAGTCAGACATAAAAACTCTACCTTTATTCTTATTTTGTTACAGGGTATTAAAGGAGATTCTACCTATATTGCAGCCCAAGGTAAATATGATTGATTGATATTGTTTAACGCCGAGTCGGGAATATTTCAGCCATATATCGTCGGTCCCAAGGTAAATATAAAAAAAAGTATTGAATAGGTATGAAGAAGCCAATTCTGTACTTCAATATTAAAAAAAATATCTGTATTGAATCAGAAAATTGGAAACAACATTTACTAGAAAATTTAAGTTAGCAGAATATTCAAAATCAATTTTATTTTAGTTCCTCTATTGATGATATGAAAAAAAAAATACTATACTTACATTAAATTCAACTTGATGCCTTAAAGCAAGTCCATAATGACATTGATAAAACCTTTTTAAGACAGTTTTTGTTGAAATAAATAATAAAACTGATAAATAGCCTAAATTATCTAGTAGGCATTTGTGACAAGTTATAAAATGTCTCAAGGCCCTTACCCCCCCCCCCCCTTCCCCCTCCGTAGCTTATTTTATGCCTTGATCTACTCCACCATTGCATATCGTAATTTTTCTTACTAATGATGTAATTAACATAATTTCCTACTCGTTCATTCGTGTCTCATAACTTTTATTTTATGTTCACTCATATTGCTGTAAACTGCGAAGAACTATTTTTTTTATATAGGACCATTTACTCCCACAACATTGATTGATTTCTGGAGGATGATTTGGCAGGAAAACAGTTCAAGAATTGTGATGCTAACAAATTTATTTGAAGGCGATCATGTAAGATATTATAAATGACGCCTTTTATTAGCATATAAAATGCTTTTCGAAAGATAAAGAGGAATAATGTTTTTATGGGTTTCAATTTTGTTCTTAATCTCGCTTAGAATTTTACAAATTGGCAAATATTGATATTAAGACCATCATTCATAACAAGAAACTCGCCAACTAAATTACGCCCTAGGTAATCCTTAAGTGTAAAACAAGCAACGAAAAGTAAGAAAAAAAAGAACTTACTCAAAAATGATTTTAAAATATAGTAAGTTTAAATTGGAGGAAATAAAATTTTTTTTTAATGTAGATGAAATGCCTGAAGTACTGGCCTGAGGCAGAAGATAAAATTGGTGACTTTTTAATTCGATTGGAATCACAAGACGTTTATGAAAACTACACAATAAGACACCTGGTTGTGCAGCAGGTCGAGAGCGAGGATAAAAACCCAGTAAGAATTATCATTTCTCCAATACACAGTACACCTAGATTTTAGCTATATACTTAAAACTCTAAGGATCTTTCAGAAAATTTGAAATCATAAAAGTGTACCAAAATCAATAACAATAAAACGTACAACTTTTCAACACTTTTCACGGCAAACTAAAGTCTATACTTTTTGACATCATAGACAGTTGCTTTTTTCAATAAAAATGGAACTCGTAAGTTTATTTACCTTGTCATTGGTCATTTAAAAAATTATTATCATTTTTTTAAAAACATTCTGATTGTACGCACTAGTACTCTGGGGTTGATATTAAAAAGATTCTTGAAGCTTCTGATTGACAATATCTATGTGGTTTTTGGAGGGTACAAATTGCACCCCGTTATTTACAGACCTACATGTATTTTTGTATTCATATTCATAAAGGCAAAAATTGACTGACGCTTTTCATTCAAATTATTTGGCCATTATTTACACACTGAATTTCTATGGATTTTTCCGTTTGCACGATTATGACAAGGAGCACACTGTAGATTTGACCGGGCGACAGGGATTGCTTACTCCTCGATGGCACCTGATCCCACCTCTGATATTTTTAGAGGTCCGTGTTTGCTTTGCTCCCAATTTGTATTGATTCAATGAACTTTTTATCCTGACTACTGTACGATACCTCCATATTTCAAAACTCAAATTATATATATATATATATATATATATATATATATATATATATATATATATATATATATATATATATATATATATATATATATATATATATACTTATATATATATATGAGACACTCAATCCTATTGACTGTAGACCAGGACAATTTTATCTGCTTCCTAAGATACACAAAGAAGGTATGCCAGGTCGCCCTATAGTTAGCGCTATTGGACACCCCACGGAGAAAATTTCTGAATACATCGATTTACATCTCCGTCCACACGTAGAGAATTTGCCATCCTATCTCAAGGACACCACGGACTACATTAACAAGACGCCCTCTACTGGCCTTCCAGATCATACCCTTCTCGTGACTATGGACGTCACATCTTTGTACACCAATATTCCGCACGATGAGGGTATCGAAGCCTGTAGAGAATTCTGGGATAGTAGATCCATACAAATTCCTTCTACCGAGTCCCTTGCCAAGCTCCTTGAACATGTTCTCAAGTATAACAACTTCATGTTTAATGGAGAACATTACCTGCAGGTTAATGGCACTGCTATGGGTACGAAAATGGCACCATCTTATGCCAATATTTTCATGGGCAGACTGGAACGCAACTTGCTACTTCAAGCACCATTTAGGCCCCTTAGCTGGTTGCGTTTCATTGACGATATAGAGATGAAGTGGGTGGAATGTCGCGAGAGCCTCGAGGCATTCATTTCGTTCGCCAACACCTTTCATCAGTCTATCAAATTTACAGTAGACGTATCTAATTCGAAAAACATATTCCTAGATACTACATCTACCCTGACTGATGGTGAAATCGAGTTCAGTCTCCACACGAAACCCACAGATTCCCATCTGTATCTTATGCCAACTAGCTGTCATCCCCCACACACATTTAAGGGTGTGCCTAAGGGTCTAGCCACCAGAATTCGGCGCATCTGTTCATCCCCTGCCTTATATCAAGAACAAAGCGGTCTCCTTAAGTCCCACTTATGCAAGAGAGGCTACAATGCCCGCACCGTACAAACTGCTATTGATGAGATGGCGGGACATGACAGGCAAAACCTATTACGCTACAAGGAAAAAGACAATAGCGGCAGGGTCCCTCTGGTAACCACATACCATCCCGTCCTTAAGAACCTCAGCGGTATCCTTCAAAAGAATCTGCCAATTCTCCACTCAAATAAACGAATGGCAGAGGTCTTTAAGGAGCCCCCATTGGCTGCATACAGGCGCCCGAGGAACCTGAAGGACATGGTAGTAAGAACCAGATTGGACAATCCATTACCTAACGGGGGCTTTAAAACTTGCTCTGACAGAAGATGTCTTCTCTGTAAGTACAGCTCTGACACAGACAGTTTTAACAGCCCCGTTACAGGCCGCAGCTACAAAATACTAGGGAATTTGTCCTGTCAAACAGACAACTGCATTTATCTCATCAGCTGCAAAGTTTGCTCCAAACAGTATGTTGGTGACACAGGAGATCTCCGCAGGAGAGTCAATAATCACCGTTCTACCATTAGGACCAAAAAACTCAATGAACCCGTTGGAGAACATTTCAACCTTGAAGGTCACAAATGGGAGGACATGACAGTAGTGGTTATTGACCATAATCCAAGATGGACAGACGCGCAGAGAAAAGGCAAGGAAAAGTTCTGGATGCACAGGCTGAAGTCATTCCGCCCTAATGGTATTAACAAACTTAATGACTTCACCAGGATGAACGTGAACTAGACCCAATCCCGAATTGTAACAAACAAGTTCATTCTCTCTATATAGCGTAAACTTTACCGTTAATTCGTATTAATAATCCTGGAACAACCTACCCAAATATTTACAGCTCACATTTTTGTTTATTTCTTTTTTCCGATTTCCAAATTTATAATATATCCAAATTCATATTTCAAAATTGTCCTTCCATATTATCTTTCTTTAATTTCTTTTTATCATGTAGAGTTACGCTATTTTGAGAGAATAAGAGAGTTACGCTATTTTGAGAGAATAAGACAATGTACGATTTACTGTTGGCCGTAATTAATTAGCGATAATTAATTCGTTCAATTATGTAAATCACACTTCACCGAGTACACCCGATAGACCGGACGCAATTCATAGCGCTCCGGATTTCTTTGTTCACAACTGTTTATAAACTCCAAATTAAACATGTAACCTTGTAAATATTTAGTGTTTGGTAGTTTAGTATTAGTGCTAGTTGTTTTTGCTTCTCTATTTCCTTTGTTTTTATGACTTCTTAACTTTTTTCTTTGTCCTGAGGAAGGGACAGGTTGTCCCGAAAATTTGACAATTATTATTGTTCGTGTCGTTGGTCATTTTTAGTGCTTTATATATATATATATATATATATATATATATATATATATATATATATATATATATATATATATATATATATATATATATATACTTGTTAATAAAAGACGAAAAGTGTCAAAAATTTCGTTTGGCAATATATTCAGAAATGTACAATTATATATAATTTTTAACCCAGAGGTGCAATATAAAATTGATTTGATAACTTTTCCAAATCCAACCATGATTCTTTTTTCTAGAACGAAGTTATTAAAAAATTGACCCAGTTTCACTTCACTAGTTGGCCTGATTGTGGAGTTCCGTCCGATGTTAATAGTCTTCTCTGTTTTCGGGACTTTGTGAAAAATGACAGACCTGATGCTGACGGTCCAATAATTGTTCACTGCAGGTAATGAGAGTTTATCACTTTGGATAAACAGTTATAAAGTTCCTTAAAAATATGCCAATCAAATGAGTCGCCTTTGTCTATAATGCTTCAATTAAAAAGGAACGAAAAGCAGAAAAAAAAAAACATTTATATTATTGGTATCGCTGAACAATATTATGAAAGCTTTGATATTTTGATGTATCTATAAACCCTTACATAGTGCTTTAATCAGTTCCTAGATATATTATGTGATAATTTGGTACTAAATACATGTACATGTATTTTACTAAATAGCTGTTACTGTAAATCTAGAAACATCTGAATATTTACTTGTGATAATTTATCATTTTAATGTTAATTTTTATATGTTGTCCAAAGACTAGTATTCAAACCTCTTGATTTGACTACAGTAGTCTAAAGCTCAATAATAATTTAAATTAGTATCGGTAAACTTCATTATCTTAAAATTCTTAAATTTTGGGAATAAGTTGGTCACGTATTGAAAAGTCAGTTTATGATTAATTTCCCTTTCTTTACTCAAGAATATCTAATATGTTTTTCTCAAACTAAACCATTATGACGTAATTCATGACGTGATGTTTACCTTAAAGCGCAGGTATAGGGAGAACAGGGACCTTCATTGCTCTGGATTATTTGTTGGAGGAAGGATCTACAATGAAGAGTGTGGATATCATCAACTGTGTATCCAAACTCAGACAGCAAAGGGCACATTCAATACAAACTAAGGTAAGATTTACAGCTGATTTAATTTATTATTTGTGAGAGGAAAGGTGTAAAAATCATTAATTTTGTCCTCAAGACGGTTGAGAACTAATTATATACAAAAAAGAATGTTTTTTTCTTATTTCTTCTGCATTGAACATTTTAAAAAGAATAAACGTTTCTTCCAATAAAATATTCTTTATTTTTATGACAATTTTAGGCGCAGTACATCTTTCTCTATGACGCACTTGTTCAAGGATTGAAGAATATTAGAAGATAGTCATTGTATCAACTTGTCGATGAAATTGGAAACCACGTCGCTTTTTTGTTAGGGACGCTCGGTCTACTTATGACCTCAAAATGTGTATAAACAATTGGTTTATCTTTTAACTTCAAACTAGATTGAAAATATGTATTATGCAATTTTTAAAAAAAAAATACATTGATACTTTTATTTCCTTTTTATTGATGGCAAACTGGTATTTTCAGATTGATGTCAATAAGTTATTATTGAACATAACATATGACTAGGAAAAAGAGGACAGAAATTCTTGTCCGGATATTTGAGATCGAAAAATGAAAAAAAAAATGCTTCCTGTGAAAAAGGTGAAGATAACGAACAGTGGTCGATCTCAAACCATATATATGATACAAATTTGTGAAGAGGGCACAAAACACGAAACCCCTTGAGACTTCAGAGGTGGGGATCAGGTTTCAAGGAGGAATAAGCATCTCCTTTTGCCCGGTTACACCCGTTATGAGCCCTATGTATTGATCAGGTAGACGGAACTTTCCGTACTCAAATTCAGTTTAAAAACTAAGACCTATCAATTGGATTGAACAGCTTCAGCAAATATACGAACCAGTGATAGCTGATATTTGCTAACAGGGTCAAAATAACGACCATTAAATTTATGAAATGCTGACTTTAAACGAGGTTGTTGAAATCCCTGTAACATCAACTTATCTGTCAGTAGCCTGTCTCGCTTTAAAATTTATCGTACGCAAAGTATGCTCCTAAGAATGGAATAAGTTGTTAAATGTAAACACCATATGCAGGTTATAGCGGGATATTACAACATAAATAAGGAAATTTGACGATGGATCTGAAGTCATCTTGTTTCTCTTACAGTTTATATGTTAGTTGGCCCTTATTGTCTATAGTCAGTAAATCATTGAAACTTGAAACTGATGTGGAAGATTCTGCGGTGTCTTTTATTTCAAGTTCACTGGGAAATATCGGGTCGACATATAAATGGAAGTAAGTTGATAATACGCAACAGCAAATCTTTTCTTTTTCTCATGGAGAATTTTTTGAAAAAAATTCTGCTTCATAGGAATATAAAACAGGTCAGCTAATAAAGGAGCACAATTAGTGTCATCGAAATAGACCTGGTCTCCGAAGACTACATAAATGTTGTTATTGAGGAACTCCAGCATCCTTTTAATATCAACTTCAGAGTGTGTGTAGAATCAGATTGATTTTTAACAAAGTTCTGTCGATGACCAATCGCAAAATACGAAAAATTCCAACTTTCATTTTTATTGAAGAAGCAGAAGTCTAGGATATCAAAAAAGCTAATTTTTTTAATTATTTATGTTGAGGAATGGTTTTATAAAGTATAAAAAAAAGTCGTATTGACTTTTGAGAAAATTGTCGATTTTAAATTTTCTGAAAGTTTTTTGGTTATTTGAAAACCTCCGTCTGATCTACACCACTTGTAAAATATGTTCTAACACAGTACCTCTGAAAGTTTCTCCTTTATAGCAGTTAATATATTTGAAGTAATGGTAGGGCCTTAAGAGAGCATTTGCTGCACCCAGCAATATATCTCTGTAAGTATTTTTATGAAGCAAAGGAATCTAGTATAGGTAGGGAAGATCGAATTCACATAGTTGACTTGAATGTTAAAAGTATTAAACGCTGAAATGTGATTTTGAAGAATTTTACACTTTAAAAGTGAACTGTAAGTATTAGTTGAATTTCCAGACTTATGATTGAAACAAAGTTCTTCTAAAATACAGTTATATAAATGAACCTTGCAAACAAAGACCATATTGTTACAAGCTTTATTGGCTGGAACCATAACATACTGTTTATGTAGTCTTTTTACTTCTTTTATCACCTCCATTTTAGTGAAAACGGAAGGATTAGATGGTTTGCATATTACCTTTTAAATTCCTTATACGAATCTTTGATATAGTACTAAAGCACGTAATCCATGATAAAGTGTTCAGATCTTCCTTTTCATATTTAGCCCAACGTCTGGGTACAAGGGTGGCATTGGAGATGAAATATTGTGACGTTGTACTAAGAGCATTTGGACGATATGAATTTTACACGGCATAAAGTATCAAATTAAGGTTCTAGCTACATATAATAAGCACAGAAGTTGTTTGTAATAAAGGTTTTGTAATAATCGTGCATCATGGTCATTTGCACAAGGTTAAAATAACTTGGTTTTAAGTGTAATCTTTTCTATCAAATGGTATATAATCTTTGTATTTTTTGTCCTCAGGGTTGGATATATCATGGCATTGAACAAACATCATCTAGACTAATGCAATAAGTAGGTCATACTTGGCACAAATATTGGTCGGGTCCAAGAGATCTTTCATGAATCTTAACCTTTGCTATTTATTTAAGTAAACGTCACAAGTCTGAGAAGATTTGGGCAATGACCTTTTAATGTTAGAATTGAAAGGTCATTCTCTCACATTCAACAAAAAAGTGACTACATCAGGCATTCAAGCCATAAGAATTTGCAGTATAATTTTTATCTAGATGACGGAGTTCTTTTTTTCAGCTATTTTCAATTTTACTTTTTTTATTGATCCATTAGAGGATATCAAGTCCAATAAAGATAATACAAGTTCTGTAATAGTGAGGTCACCTAGGTTTGTACTTTGGACAACTGATCGATTGTACTGAAAAAAGCAAAGATAAGTTTATTTCCATTTACTTGAGAGGAATTGTTCAAGAATCTTTCGTTTAATATATACGTATACAACAACCTAGCACTGCTGGTGATCTATTACTCCAAGGAAAGTTTCAAAGCAAATTCAGTATTCTAGTATTTAAAGATTCTTACCATCTCAAGCCACTGAAGATCAAAATACTTTCAGGTCATTAGCAAAAGGGTTCTCAAAATAGCAGGAGACACAAAATATTTACATATAAATTTCTTAAAAATTCTTGAGTATCAAAGGTCTATTTTTTTCAGAATTGAATTTGATTAACCAATGTGTTGGATTGAAAGTCTGTAAATATATCTTCCAAAGTCCACGACTATTCGAGTGATTAACTCAATGAATCGTGCTTGGCACTTTCGGCATTCAAGGAAATGTTGGTTTTCAATGATCCATTTTATAGAAAAACATATTTCTATCATTTCGTGATAAGGAAGTTAAAATAACATTTTATTTTTAATTGAAAAATACTCCTATCATTTTAACTATCGTTTATATATTATGTATTAAAATACCCTTTAATCCCTTTGGAATACTGGAAAATATAATTGATATTCTTTCCGATTCTTCGGCAAGAAATGTAATTCTTTATATTCAAGTAAACAAGAATATTCAATATGAGTGCAAGTATGAATTTTGGCTTCAGAGAAACTCCCTTATATCTCTCCATCACAATTATCAAATGCCTGTTTTCTGAACTTATAAAAATAAAAGCAGCACAGTAATTTGAAAGTTAGATTTTATTAATTCCAAAACGCTTTCTTTTGATTAATACTTTAGTCAATCTGATCTGAAGCCGTCCTTTTTTCATTTAATGCAAGATATGATTCTAAAAATGCATTTGTTTATAAAAGTAGACTCAATATCTAATAAAATAAATTTCCAAAGCATTTAACATTTTTTTTAAAAAAAAAAGTTTATCAATTTCATAGAAATCCATCATCTCCAATTTTCCCATGTATGCATTTATATTCTTATAAAAGTTCAATAAAAAAATTAAAAAAAATATCCGGAATAAATTGTAACTTTTTTTTATTTTAAGGACGTATTCAGAATTTCAAAAGAAATTAACCTATAGCAGAGAACAATCTCAGGGAAAAAGACACATTTAAAAAATCGATGTACAATAGTTATTTTCTACCATATAAAAGACACATTTAAAAAATCGATGTACAATAGTTATTTTCTACCATATAAAAGACACATTTAAAAAATCGATGTACAATAGTTATTTTCTACCATATAAAAGACACATTTAAAAAATCGATGTACAATAGTTTTTTTTCTACCATATAAAAGACACATTTAAAAAATCGAAATGCACAAAAACCTACCAATCCCCCCCCCCCCAAAAAAAAAAAAAAATTAAAATAAATAAAAAAAAAATGAATAAATAAAAAAATAAAAAGGAAACCTGTTTTTAACTACTTAGTTCACATTTATACCAACTATATTCATAGCAGGGTTCGCTGGAATCGTATATCAGCTGACTATTAACATCGTGATATTTGTTTTTATAGAATCCACCTAGTGCCACACATTTTATAGTTTTAAATTCTCCCCTTTTCAAGGATATTACAAGTTATTATAGGTGTCTGCGTATTTTCCTTCAATTATCTATCTTTAATGCATGCTCATTCATCATATAAAGTCACTTAAGAGAAAGCAAATCGTAAATTTCATTGTGACTAAAACCCAGTCAAGCGGAACTACTTCAATATAGCACACTTTCTTCGAGGATAAGAATAATAAACTCTCCGTTACTCGATACAGGTATTTTCGTCTGCATTGAGCTGTGAATTTAATCAGTTTAGTGTATTACATTGTTTTATATTCCGTTTGTACGTCAAATATTTGTCTGGGTTTTTGCACTGGAAAGTATACGTATTGCTTGTATTATCTGAGTTTAATACATTTAGAATGACATACATGTACTTTTGTACTAAGTCTAAATTCAGATCTCAAGTTTTGATTTATTGATTGATTGTATGTTGTTTTACGTCCCTTTCGAGAATTTTTCACTCATATAGAGACGTCTTCGTATACCGGTGAACGGCATCAAATTTTGACCTTAAGGCCATTGAGCAGTGAGGGATCTTTATCGTGCCTACCCTTGAAGTGACACGGGACCTCGGTTTTTAAGGTCTCATCCGAAGGACCCGCAACTTTCACCTCAAAGTGCCTAGCGCATGGCAAAGGAACAGTTGCTACCCATTTTTTATCGACTTAGGTCAGTCGCGGACGAGATTCAAACTCACGACCTCCCGATCACGGAACGAGCGCTCTACCGACTGAGCTACCGTGAACGGTCCTCAAGTTTTGAAACAGTGGGACTATATAATCAGTAACTGCACTC